TTTGCCTTATACAACACTAGGAAGATTAGACCCTTCCTATCGGAGCATTCCACACAACTTCTCGTCCAAGCTCTTGTTTTATCCAAACTAGACTATTGTAATGCTCTCTTGGCAGGTCTTCCAGCATGTACTGTCAAACCTCTGCAACTGATCCAGAATGAGGCAGCAAGAGTGGTCTTTAATGAGCCGAAGAGAGCCCACATCACAAGTCTTTTCATCAGTTTGCACTGGCTGCCAATAGCTGCTCGCATCAAATTCAAGGCTCTGATGTTTGACTACAAGACAACCACTGGCTCTGCACCACTATACTTAAACTCACTACTTAAGACCTATGTGCCCTCCAGAACCTTGCATTCTGCAATTGAACGGCGCCTTGTGGTGCCATCCGAAAAAGGCACAAAATCACTCTCATGGACCTTTTTCTTGTCTGTTCCCTGCTGTTGGAATGACCTGCCTGGCTCAATCAGAGCAGCTGAGTCTTTAGCCATTTAAAAAAAAAAAACTTTTTCCTCAACACTTGACCCAGTGAAATTAGCACTTACTTTTTCTATTTCTATTCTGTCTCTCTATTTATTTATTTTATTTAAAAAATCCTTGCTATGTGCACTTTGCTGGAATATCTGGGACTTGTCACAGCATACTGTTGCTCTCATGTTGATTTGATTGCTCCTATTGTTCTTATTTGTAAGTTGCTTTGGAGAAAAGCGTCTGCTAAATGATTAAATGTAAATGATAAACTTAACATTTCAGCTTTTAAACCATTATTAAGAAAACGGATAAGTCGAAAGTATCATATTATTACTCTATTAAATTAAATGACATGTAAATATATTTTACTTACTTAATTGTTTAGATTTTTTTAATGCATTATCTTCCCATCGTTCCACTAGTTCACATTTACAAACATCAGTTGATTTTCACATTGGTCTGAACAAAAACAGCAGGAGGGCTCATTATAAATGCACATTCATTCTCTGCCAGCAGGTGGCGCTTTTGGAACTTTTGAAGTTTAATCATCCTTTCCGTCCCCAAATTTAAGACCACTTGAAATCATAATTAAGACTTTCATGTACCATTTAAGTATTTTTATGGCCTTTAAATTTGATACAACTAAATTTAAGACTTTTTAAGGACCCGTGGAAACCCTGAGAATTATTCATGTTTTTCTATAACTAGAGATGCACCGACTGCAATTTTCTTGGCTGATTCCGATTTCCGATTTTTTTGGTAAGTGTAACCTGCCGATACCGATTTTTGTCGATTCCAATTTTCTCTCTAAGAACTATAATTGACAGCAAATACAAACAAAAATCTATGCAAATTTAAATGCAAAAATAATTTGCTTAATAAAAGAAATTACTAAACATTACAATTCCCCCAACCTGGACTAAGTTACAGATGTTATCACACTTAAACAACTCTCAAAATAAACTATGTGTCTGTGTATAATAAATGAGCTGCTGTTTATAAAGTCCCAGATGTCATGTTTATAAATGGTCTTTTTTTCCCCTAACCTTATTAAATGTGTCATTTTTCAAATTCTTACATTTTCAATTAATTCAGTTAGAATAATAAGAAACTGTATGGTTGTTACCATTCAAATGAAATCAGTATCAACAAACTCCATCTTTTCACTGCAGGAAACACAGAAGCTGCATCTGAAGTGGCATTAGATGTATTTACACAGACTGTTTGATGAAGCTGAGGTGCCATAAATGCATTTACACTGCAAAATTGCAAATGCATAATTTTATAAGATTAATATTAAAAAAAAAATTTTTTGAACATACAAATAAGAAATGTTGGGAAAAATGCAATGATACTTTTTCAAATATGAAACCAAACCACCAGTAGATGGCAGCAAATGAAGTTTTAATGATTGAGTCATTCAACCGATTCTTTCAAATGACTGATTCATTCAGAAAAAGGCATGTTGACTCACTGTTGTTATGAATGGGTCACTGAATCATTGACTCAATCGATTCGTTCAAAAACGGGGATTCATTCAGTAACAAAACGGAGCTGTGTGTTGCTGGGAAACACACACAACAGCTTTGCTGTGATTGGAACTATTTTCATGGGCGAAAGTAAGCAAAAACAGTCAATATTATGTCTAAAATGTAAGTCACTTAATTTTAACTTACAGTGTCACCTTGCAATCGTGTTGATATTCGGGGAAACATCTTGGTCGTGTAATGTTGCTTACATACAGTATATTATACAGGGCCCCACTCGTCACACAAACCTTTTACAATCATATTGTAAATACAATTGTAGGCTTAGTGCTAATTCAATTTTTGTTGTTGTAATGTAATTACTCTTTCATTTGAATAATTTAATGTATATCTTTCTTTTTGTCACACTAGCATATTCCTTTGCTGTCAGCCAGTTTAACAGTCTTACCTGTACCTGTCTGATTTGGCTGATGCTCAGTGGGCTCTCCCTCACTCTCTGAGCCTGCTTCTGCCTCATCTTCAATGAAAGTATAAGCATTATACATTTAATTTAATATTATACAGCATAAATCTATATTATAGCTTACACATAAACATCTCATTTAGAACATCTATATGACTTTTTAAACTATTTATAGGCCTACTATTAATATGGTTTTAATAAAATGTTATAAATATGTGTTATATAGATTACTAGTATCAACTAAGACAAATGATTATAATGGGAAATATACTTAATTACAAGAATTAAAGTGTGACAAACTGCTAAATATTCTATATGATGATTTACCTGCTGGCTTGCTGGAGCTTTGAATCCATGTTTGCAATGTTGAACTGTCTTTAGCAGCCTCCCTTCACTCTTTCTCTCTCCGTCTTCTTTTTTGTGAAGGCTTTTTTTTTTTGTCTTCAAAGTATGCCAACTACAGCAAATTTGGTGTTATTTATATTCTATTCGGGTACAATAATTTGATTAGACAATCTAATTCTAAGAACGTGGATATTTTGTACAAGTTGTTAGCACTTTTAGAAGACCGAGAGCAAATCATTACCGACAGAAATACAAAAACTTACTACCAAATTACTAATTCAGCGGATCAACCACTGACTGTAATGTGGATTGTAATGCATCTACCTGTTAATGCAACTACCTTTAGGAACTGTCGTCTCAACTCTCCAGAGAGTGGGCACACAGATTGTGAGTGATGCTGCGGAGCGGGCGGATTATCAGAATCAGTGGATCTTTAGCGGAACAGTAACAGAACGCTTTGAGCTGGGGTGATGGTGGGGTGATGGGTTGGTGAGAGGGGCACCTCAGCCGATGAGAGCAGAGGGGCAGTGGCTCTAGCCACCGGGCCACCCCCCTGTGCACGGCCCTGATATCATATATTAGAAATATAATTTTTTTTCTACCGCAGAATGCATCTATACCTTTCTGTGTGTGCTGTGGCGCTCATTTGTTTTGATTTCTGCACGAGTCTGTCTCTCACACTCAGACATATTGTCTGAGTAGCGTAGCTGTGACGACAAAATGAATCGGCAGACTGACCGGCCAATCATGCGGAAAATAGGCTAATTCCGGTCCCTAGCCTATTGACCTCTAGTCAAAACACCAAAAAAAGGCACCATAAAACAAATATTTTATCTTAATAAAAAAGTAGGGTGTAAGCCTTCAGAAGTCATGTGAGAAAGAACTAAATTTGAATTGTCATTGATAATCGTCTTCAAAAATGTGTAATTTTGTATTCAATGAAAAAAAAAACAGCATACAGATTAGAGTGACATGATGGTGAGCAAATGGTAACTATTTATTCACCTACCAATGTTTGCAATCGGTATTATTTTTTTATTTATTATAGGATTTATTCATACTTTGAATTAGTTTTACTTTTATATTTTCATTTTTTCATTTTTTTATATTTTAATTTGAGTTTTAGCAATTTTATGTGTGCTTTTAATTTTTTCTTTCTTTTTTTTTTTTTATATATTTCCACATAGCGTTAATTTATTTGTATTTCAGTTTTGGTCATTTTCAGCACTTAAACTTTTTCAGTTAGTTGCTAAGGTAGCCTTTTTTTTTAATCTAATTTTTTATATTTTATTTCATTTCAGCTTTATTTCAGTTACCAAAAGCAATTTTTGTTAGTTTGTTTTAATTAACAAAAAATGGTTGTAATGAGTAAGTGCCAGTCCTGCACAAATCAAGTGACTTCAAGTCGTATGTGTATTTTGTTTATTTTCTTAAAGGCCGCTAAAAATCCAGCATAAATTGAAAGCAAGGAGATTAAGCATGTGGGAATAATAAACATTAACAGACATAGCTAGTCAATAGGAGACAGTGATGACTGCTATCAGTACTGGGGTGAGATTAGCAACCTCTGTGAGGAAAGCACCTTGTTCTGCCCCCCTGGGCGGCATTCAGAAGACACGTGTGTGACAACCAATTCAGAAAATAAAAATGTAGCCTGGGGCAGCAGGCTCATTTCTACTGGCGTAATGCTAATAAGCTTTGGTGACATTTTCTGCTCCGCTATTATCTCTGCTTAATTAGCCTATTTTGCCAGATTACGCCGTACATCTAATGTTTCCAGTAATAGATACTAAATGCAAGGCCTTTTTTCAAAATGTTATGGATGATGCATGTAGTTTGTTTCAAGTACATTTCTGTTGTGTTTGGAGATAACTTTGCGTTAAGACTTTGAACTCATGCAATATGAGTTGAAAATAAGAAATTACATTTTTTTTTTAAATTTCATTTTTTTTTTATGAAACACACCCAAGATGCAAGATTAACAAATGTTGTTCTGCTTGTAATGTTCCTGGTTTTCAAGTGAATTTGCTAATGAAAGGGCCTCATGAAAAGGAGATGTGCTGTAGAACATCAGCCAATATGTTGGGAGCTAAAATCATTTTATTTTATTTTATTTTATTTAATACGAATATTAGCAGAGTTACAGCTTGCCAGTAAAGCATTAGTATATACACTTACGAGTACAGCTGTATATCTGACTAAGTGTTTTCCTTTTCATTTTTATTTTTTTTCTCCAGATTCCTCCAAGAAGCTTAAAGATGTCCTGGAAGAGTTTCATGGAAATGGTGTCCTCTCCAAGTACAACCCTGAACAGGTATGTAATGGCAGGAGCGGCCGTGATCTGGTCTGATTAAATGATCTGTTTAGAGGCAGTGGAGCTTCTGGCTGTGACTTGACAGAACACCAATACAACCTGACTCAGGCCGCAAGTCACTACAGGAAATGCTTAGTTATCCGCTCCCCGAAATAAAGTGTCCAGATATCGCCTCCTATTAGAGAAGGTCCTCGCTGACATCATAAAGCCCATGCATCACATTGCCGTGACAACAAAGCCAGCAGGCAGCCGCATCTATAATTTGCTTTATGGAGTGTCGCCATTATATTTCTCTCCTCTCCTCCGCACTGGCATAAATAAGAGGCTGCTCAGGGTTTGGCGCCACAGGTTGTGACCCAGAGCCTTGGCTGAATCAATAGTGAATAAGCACGGGTTTGAAGCTGACGCCAGGTTGGCTGTGGTGTGACATCGCATGCTTTGCATTGTTCATCAATTCGGTTTAAATTATAAAGTCTGGAAGTATCGCAAAATGGAGGTGACATGCCATGAGTGCCACTGTGCTGCCTGCTTACGATGACAGAGTGCTGTATTTCACTCATGTATACAGCCTCGATTGACTGACTGACTGCAGTTGGGCTGTAAATATCCTTCATCGCAGCCTCAACAAGTCACGGCTGTTTTGAGTATAATGATGTTTAATTATGGTGACTCTGTAACCTTTGTCAAAGGAAGGGTGTCTGTAAAAATGGGCGCCAGTGAAAGGTTAAATAAACGGTTCATTGTTTCCTGCATTATTTGATAGCAGGGCCAGCCTCTGTGTTTTGCGCATTTGAAAGTCAGACAGGAAGTTTCTCTTACAGCCACGGCTGGTTATGCTGCTTTTCACACCACCAAAACATATAAACGTGTTTGCTAATACTTAGACAAAGAGAGTCATTTGGGTTCGGTTACTTTCACCTTCCTGTTTTTGGTGTGCATCTGCCCAACGTTTGCAGCCCTTCAAGGACAGCCTACCTTTGCATGCAAGTTCCTCTCTGTCCACTTCCACTTCCTTATCTCCTACTTGTCTTGCCTGTTTTTGCCTTATTGGCTTTTTGCCTTTTTCCAGAGTTTCATTTCAGCAACAAGAGGGATCTAATGGATTTAGGTTTGTTCATTCTTGCAATGATATGATTAAAGGGGAATTGACCCACAATGCCTTGGAAATTGTCTTAGCATAGAATATGTGGGTGCTTTTGTGCCAGTGCCCGATTTGCGCATTTTCTTTAGTGAATCATGTGCTTAAACTGAAGTGAATTCTCTTTAAGGGCTTTGGGTTTTACATTTTAAATTTAGTTTTGATTCCTATTTTATTTCCAGGTTGTCGTTTCAATTTTTGTTTTTATTAGATATCACTGTCAATTTTAGTTTAGTTTTTTTAGAGATTTCCAGTTTCATTTTAACGTGTTTATTACATTTTATTTTATTTTCTCAGCACAGCCTAGTGTTTTTGCTGTCTGGTGGAATTTTCATTATTACAAGATTACAAGAAATTACAAGTTTTATAATACAGCATGTATAAAAAAACTAAAATGTTTTTTTTATATTTATTTAAACTAGTTTTGTAACCATAACATTTTTTAATGTACATTACTGTTCAAAAGTTTTGGACCAGTAAGATTGATTGATTGATTGATTGATTGATCAAAAGTGACAGTTAAGACACTCATAATGTTACAAAAGAGTTTTAATATTTTTATTTTGAGCTTGCTATTCATCAAAGAATACTCAAAGAAGAAAAAAATGTAGGTTCTCACACATTTCCATAAAAATTGTAAGCCGCACAACTATGTAAACATGGGTAATAATAAGGGTTTAGACAAAATATATAAGAAATAATAATACTAGTTTTTCCGTGACATGAATACACTATATTTTAAAATATATTAAAGCAGAAAATAGTTACTTTCTGTTCTTAATCAAATAAATGCAGCCTCTGTGAGCATAAGAAACTTAAAAACATTTTACTTGAAATTTTAAACAACAAAAAAAATCTTACCAACCTATAGTGTATTTTAGTTTTGTTTCTTTTTTCCCCTAGCTATGCTAATTTTATATGTAAGTTTATATGTAAAATATTTTCATCAATGTTAATAAAACTTTCCCCTTTTTAGTCCTTTATCCACCTTATTTTTCAACATGGAAGTAAGCTGTTTTCTGTGAATGTGCGAGACTTCTGGTTCATTAGCCACTGTAGGGAAGTAACGAAAAGAATAACAAAGTGCAGTAAACGGTAAAACTGTTTGCACTACAAACCGGTAGTGATAATACATTAAAATAATATGGTAAGAAACACCAGTTTGCAATATCAAGCAGCAAAACAAGCTGTTTTGTACAGCTAAAAATAGCTGGAAGTGAATGAGACCGGAAGACCGGACCTCGCACATAAAATTTACAAATGGTCGCGCACGTTCTTATGAGAAAAATAAGGTGGATGTTTTTCCCCATTTTCTTACTGAGAGAAAATTACCACCTTAAAGAAGTAGGTCTGGATTATGCAAATAAACCAGTGGATTCTCCTGCCACTAAACCTGCAAAACAGCATTAAGTATGATGCAGGTGGACTAATGCAATACAGCATTAAAGAAGGAATAATGTCAATTCATTGCGTGTCAGAGGAGCAGAGGATATGAAAGGTAACACCATTCACTGATCCCTTCCCTCTGCACGAACTACCACAGCAGTGTATATAACCCCTCTCTCCCTCTACCCTCTTCATATATCTCTGACTGCCACACAGAAGCAAGATGTTCTCAACCAAGTAAGCTGTTACGTTCTGGGTTTGCATGTTCTGTGGTTCAATGTGTCTACAGACTGCATGCCCCGACCCCTCCCTGTCTAACAAGATAGTCTTGCTATAATGTCTACTGAAGATCAGAGGTCGCACCCAGTGCTTTTTCTGTGCTACTTTAAATTCCATTAACGGCCTCTTCATCATGGTGTTTTTGTAACCTCCGAAGATTTTGTTTCTATGAGCAGCAAAAAATGTGCAAATGTATGTGTTTTTACTATATTTTGATGTGTGTCTGTGGGCTCCCTCTGTATTTTTGTTGCCATGTGTCATAATGAAATGCGTGAGCATGTCATTCATGCCCAAAGACAGGAACATCCTCTCTGCTGAAAACATAAAGGAGCAGGAAGCTGCATATTCATGGCTTTATTTCATCTCTCAGGCTTCCTGTCTTCTCATTTCTCATCATCTCTCCACTTGTCTCCTGCAGCCCATCGACTATGAGGGCTTCCAGCTATTCATGACAACCTATCTGGAGAATGACATCCCTGAGGAACTTTGCAAACACCTCTTCACCTCCTTCAAGAGCAAGAATGGCGGAGGCAGCTCCCCTGACACCTCTCGATCTGGAGCAGGCATGCTGGGTAAATACTCTTTTAAAATGCCTTCATACTATCTATAACGGGTCATGAAAGTCTGTGTTTCATATTTATTTTAGCAGTTTTAATAGGAGAAACAGGTGTCAGTTTACATATTTTATAGCACTATGTTCATCAGGTAAATTTTTTGGGAGCTGTGAATGAAAAACTGCACTGAAACACACTTGTGCGCTAATACATAAACAGTTGGGTCCAGATTCAAATCGATTTATATCTGGAAATAAGCTTTAAGTTTTAGGATGACATAAAATAAGAAACATTTACAATTCTTCACTATTTGTAAACTTTTGGAGTTTATCTAGAGTGCTGCTGCCATTAAAGCAAAAGAGCTGCAAACCAAATACTAAAAATTCATCAAGATTTTTTTTTTCAGTTTACTCAGCATGTTATACTGATAATTTAAGTTCTAATGGAAATAATACCTTTCAAATGCAGAGGTGGAAAGAGTACTCAAATTTCCTACTCAAGTAAAAGTACCATTACATTAATACAATTTTCTTTAAGTACAAGTAAAAGTGCCAGTCAAAAAATCTACTCAAGTAAAAGTAAAAAGTAGCTCATTTAAAATTTACTCATGGGATAGGCTTATAGATCGCAATCTAGTTGTTTTTAATTAAAGGAACACCGTAACAAGTTAAACTGCAATAGCAAAAAAATAAATAAAATGTCAGCACATGACATTTAAAACATTTAGGGAGGTATGTGTAGTTTTAATGCAGACCATCCCACCAAGTACTGTAGGCAGAAAAAGCAAGTTATATTCTGGCTACCAACAAAACAAGCTAAGAACAGTTTATGAAATTTTTAATTGCTTTTGAAGGATTCGAAAATTAAGACTTCACATTGGTTATTTCAGTAGCATGAAAAACAAAACAAATACTATTATATATTATACAAAGAAAGTGCGCAAAGGACACTGAAGCGGTCCATGACTTCAATCTAATGTGAGCTATGCACTTTCGCAAAAACTCCCATATTTACTAAAGCAAATCAATCGCTTACATTTATTTTTCTCTTTGTTGTTTATGATTATGACAGAATTTGCAAATGCACATTCAGAATTCATTCACTGAGCACGCACACTTGAACAACTCTGGCGTTCTCCGCGGTGATGAATCAAAACGCCTCTGATTGGACATTGCATTCATAAACTCAACAGAAAGGTGTGTGAATGGTTATTATGCTCAACACTGCAAAACGCGAGTTTAAAGACATCTGATGCAACATGAGCAGATCTACTCTAAAATGTAACACTTTTCATTCATTTCACATTTCACATTTAAATCGTGACCGCTGTAATAGTTCTTGCTTAATTGTGCAGGAAGACTTTTTGCACCTAATCATAAATTTGGGTGACATTTTTGCCCCAAGCCCCCATACATTTCTCACCCTGGTGCCAACCAACATTATAAGTCCTGCTAGGGGTGTGCGATATTGACAAAATAAGATATCTTGATATTTTCTGGGATCGATAACGTTAATTAGACAATATTTTGCTGAGAGTGTTATTATGCTGGTATCTTAAGGACTGCCGTGGACACTCCTAAAGTTTTTGATATTCTTCATATTCTGTGTGGTCAGTGATAGAAATTATTGTTTTCCAATAAGTTTAAATAGATTTTTACCTTTTGTGGGCATTTTTACCTTTATAAAGGCATTTTTTCTAAAAGTGTTCATTATCCTTTGAGCCAAATTTTTACATTTAATCAGTCATTTACAATAATAAGACATTTGGGCTGTTACCAAGCAAATTAAATCAGTATCAACAAAATTCATCTTTGCAATGCAGAGGAAACACAGAAGCTGCATCGGAAGTGACATTTAGATGTATTTACACACCGTTTAATGCATCACATGAATGCATTTAATCTGCAGTTACAAATGCATACATAATGTTTTGATATATAAGACATAAAATGTTGAATACTCATATTTGAAATTTTAAATATGAAATCAAATCCGCCAGTAGGTGTCAGCAAGTAACTGTTAATAAGTGAGTCATTGCGATTGAACCAAATCATTTAAACGGTTGATTCATTCAGGAACTAAATGTTGCTTAGAGACGCAGAACTGTGCTGTGGTGTTTGGAATTATTTTTGTTGTCGAAATAGAGCAAAAACAGACAATATGGTGTCTAAAACGTCAGTCTCTTAATTAACTTGTTTATTGAACTGTTGTTAAAAATCAATATGTAATCATGCTGATTTTGGAAGAAAAAACAGCACTCTTCTTGTGATATTGATCAGCTACATGAAATTATATAAATATGTACATTTTCTGTCCCTATATCTTCAATTTTGTGATCTTTCTAAATGCATTTTAACGGACTGAATCACGCCGTGAAAGAACTCACTCTAATTGTGCTCACGCGTGCGCTCTGTAGGAGTGTTTTGTTTGTTTTTTGCAAAATATTCGATAATGTCAAATCGCACATCGTTAAAACAACAATTACGATATTATTGCAGACGATATATACCGCACACCCCTAAGTCCTGCACAACTGTCTTTTTGGCTAATGTGTGCAAAACCTCTTGCTAAACTGTCAAAGCTTCATTTTAACCACCAATGCAACAATGTAAGTATTTACCTTACCTCTACATGCTTGCGAAGGGTTGATGTCAAGATTTTATAAGCTGCTAGTTTGGTCTCCCTGGGCAAACACAGCTTACACTGCATAATAGAGCTTAAATATGGCCAGGGGTTCACTTCATTTCACCACTAATGCCTGCCTTGTCCGTCTCCATCTTTCTTGTGATTTTAGCGCCAGTTTTGTCTCCTGCCCATTATTTACTGCAGTAGTTTCAGTAATTAATGTGTAAAATGTAGCGAAGTACAATACTTCAAACAAACTATACTTAAGTAAAAGTAAAATTACAGATTTTAAAAATTACTTTAAAAAAGTACTGTAGAAGTACACAAAATAAAAATTAAAACATTAAAAACGGCATAATAGATACTCTGCCGTTCAAAAGTTTGTTTTTGAAAGAAGTCTATTATGCTCATTTATTTGATCAAAATACAGCATTTATTTGATCAGAAAAACAGTAATTTATGAAATATTACAATTTAAAAGAACTTTTATATTTAAATATATTTTATATAAATTTTGAAGTTTGAAGTCGGTAAAATCGACAAAATAGATACTCTGCTGTTCAAAAATTTGGGATCAGAAAGATTATTTAATGTCTTTTAAAAAATAAGTCTCATATGCTCATTTATTTGCATTTATTTGATAAAAATACAGTATTTATTTGATAAAAAACTGTAATTTTATGAAATATTACAATGGTAAATAACTGTTTTATATATGAATATATTTTATATAAATGAGATGGCAAAGCTGAATTTTCAGCAGCCGTTACTTCAGTCTTCAGTGTCACATGATCCTTCAGAAATCAATCTAATATGCTGATTTGCTGCTTAAGGCTGATGATACACGGGGCAACTTTTTGAGCAATTTTGCCAGGCAACTTTTCTTGAGCAATGTTGTTTGGGCACTTTCCCACTGAGAATGGGTAACAAATTTCTATCTGGATACTTTAGATCGGTCGTGGGCCCTGTGTCTCACCTGGTTGCCCGTTGACAGCGATATTGCTCAAAAAGTTGCCCCGTGTATCATCAGCCTAAGACACATTTCTTATTATTATCAATGCAAAACAATTTTATACAACATGACAAATAAAGTACTTTCACCTTTGGTCTCAGATCACACTTTATCTTTTCATTTAAATTAGATTAGACTGCATAACCAGTTTGCTTGTAAACCTGTTTGTAATAAACACTCAGCCTGCATTACTGAAATAATGAACTGGTAGATGTCTGGAGATCCCACACACATCTGATGAGCATTTGTCTTGGTGTTATGCGATGAAACCTGCTCTTGTCTGGAGACATGCTGTCCGCTTTTCAGGCTCTCCATGACTCTTGAGCCATTGTTCTATAAAGGCAAAATTACACAAATTAAGAGATTTAACTCTTTGCGAGGTTGATGCAAGAGTACACTTTAAAGGGATAGTTCACCCAAAAATGAAAATTTTGTCATTAATTACTAGGGCTGGGTATCGAGTTCGATACTTTTTAGGCACCGACCGAATTGCCTCGATACCATCGAGTATCGAAAAACGTCTTGTCGTTCGGTACCAAATTTCGATACCTAAGGGGTTAATCTCATCAGCGTCAGTGAGCCAATAAGCACTTGCCGGTGTGTTCGACTAGAAGAGGTGCGGAGCAGATCGATCATCCGCGAGAGCGATTCGAAAGCACACGGAGCAGTCTGCTCTCTTTAGCTCTCGTGGTACTGTAATACCACCAGTATAGAGTAGCGCGGGAGCTGCGTGGAGTTCCGATCATATGCAGATGTGCTGTTTTGTGTCAGCTGCGCCACATGGATACGTTGTTTTCGTTCAAATCAAAGCGTAAACGACGTAAACAGTGTATCCGCGTGGCGCAACTGACACAAAACAGTATACACATTTTTTTTTCCTTTTGCGCACAAAAAGTATTCTCGTAGCTTTGTAAAATTACGGTTGAACCCCTGATGTCACATGGATTATTTTACCGATGTCCTTACTATGTTTCTGGGCCTTGATCGTGTAAGGACCCTTGCTGTCTATGGGAGGGTCAGAGAGCTCTCAGATTCCATCAAAAATATCTTAATTGGGTCAAAACAACCCAATAGCTGGGTTTGTCCCTTTTTAACCCAGCATTTTTAGAGTGTATATTCACTATAATTCACTAAAGTTTAATTGAAAAAGTTATTGATAAATAATGATTTTTTGTTAATAATGTTCATTCACAGGTTTTACACACATTTGTGTGTACACACAGTTAGTGAATGAGACCCTACGCTATGTTTCTTCCTGTCTCGTTTCAGATCATCACTTTCATTCTCCTCTCTATTTTCCTGTGCTGCTTTTTTCCTTGTAGGTATGAATGGGAAGAGTATTTTGAGTGCTATGAGCCGACATACACCAGAGAACTCAGCAGGGATCACTCCAGGCTCAGGGGCCACCACATCACCCTGCTCCTCCCGCTCCTCCTCACAACGCTCAGGTACAGGGGGCCACACACCCAGAGGCCCCCACTGCTCACCCGGTATGCAGCCCAATCCCCCAGCGAGCAGCAGCAGCAGCAGCAGCCATGCTTTGGCTCTCTCCAAGACTACCAATTCCCCGCGCCTCTCCCCAGGTCAGAGTCATGAACAAGGGGACAACCTTGATCTTCACCGCCCTTTTTTACACGTGTAATCCATGACAAGGGTCTTATAAAGTAATATTGCCTGTTAAGAATTCGGATGCTCCCACACAAATACTTTGTTGTGATATCTGGTGTCATTACTGATATATTATACATATAAGTGTACAGCACTTTGGCCAACTAAAGTTGATTTTAAATGTGTTTTATAAATAAAACTGAATTGAACTGAAAAATTATAATTTAACATTCTTCCAGAGCGTAATCAATCAGAAAATCGTACTTCTCTCCGGAGGAGTCCTTCTCCACAAAAAGGATCTCCATCACCCCAAGTGGTCTTCCTTAAAGACATTGTGTGCTACTTGTCCCTGCTGGAGAGGGGGACGCCAGAGGATAAGCTTGAGTGTAAGTTGGAAATTATTCAAAAATAATTCTTCCTTTAATCTCCTTCTTATTTACATTAAGACAACATATCCACAATAATTCCCACTTTTCCAAAGTTCTTCTAAAGAAAAAATAATAATATATATTTTAAGTAATTTTGTAAATCATGTCTCCAAACCTGTCGTGCCAACCACAGAAAGCACAGTATTAGTCACTAACATGTGAAAAGTCACCTCATTCTTGGCAGGTGTCACAAATTAAATTTCCTTACTGACAGTTCATATTTAAACACAGCATATGAAAAGCAGTTATGGTTCTTTGAGATGCTTGAACAGTCAGTTTCATTTCAGTTACTGTAGCCTATGTGATGGCAAAGGTGAATTTTCAGCTGCCATTGCTCCAGTTATCAGTGTCGCGTGATCCTTCAGAAATCGTTCTAATACTTGGTGTTTAAGAAAAATGTCTTATTATCAATGTTGATCACAGTTGTGCTGCTTAATATTTTTGTGGAAACTGTGATACAGTTTTTCAGGATTATTTGATAACTCGAATGTTCAAAATAGAATAGCATTTGTTTGAAATAGAAATCTTTTGTAATATATAGAAAAAAATCTGTAAGTAGCTATAAGTTATTAGCTATAAATAATAAATCTGTTAAGTAATAATAAGTCAGTATATTTACATATAGTACACCCAACAACAGCTTTGTCAGTTCTACATTTTACTTGACTTCTGACCTACACATAGTGAGAGTGACAGGAGACTTCTAGAATCTCTTTCTCTTGTTCTGTAAGGGCTGATCTCTGCTCCTGTCCTTATTTGCCATGGAGTTAGCATAGCCAAGCTTTCTTTAGCATAGGAAGTTATTTGTGCCCAAAGCTAATCCTCACTAGCTGCCTCAGTCTGCCTTTTGATAACCTGAGCTCCAGATGCTTTCATGGGGTCTGTACTTGACAAATGTTTGCTACACTACAAAAAGATGCAGTCTCTTATCTTTTACTTCTCTCACCCTAAAGTCATGTTCAGGCTGTACGACACAGATGGCAATGGTCTGCTGGACAGTTCGGTAAGTCTGAAATCTCCGTTATAATGTATCATTTTAAAATGTCCAGTTGTTTGACTTTGTGGTTAGATTGGTGCTGTAAACAACAAGGGGTTAAAAATGCACAGTACAGAGTACTGCTCAGTTTATTGTTAGGGTTACATACAAGTTTAATACAACATACACAGTTAGAGCGCATTTCATTTGGATTATGTAATATTATTATCATCCTTTCATTGAATGTTTTATTAATCTCAACACTATCAGAACTTGATGATTCAGAGCCTGTCTCGCAGTACTATTGATCTTTTTTTTTTTTGGAAACTTTGAACTGATAGTTGGAGAGAACTATAAATACCAGGCTAGTAATTTAGAAAACTGTATGCTTTATAGTGTATAACATCTAAAGCAATTATATCTGTCGATTTAGGAGCTCGACCGCATCATAAACCAGATGGTCCATGTGGCTGAGTATCTAGAATGGGACTCTACAGAACTACGACCAGTATGAATCACTTTAAATGTTTCCACCAGGCAATCCCAACTTGCATAGTAAAATTCATATCTTATTGTCCCTTATTTCATGTCTTATATTGTAGATTCTGAAGGAGATGATGGAGGAGATTGATTATGACCGGGATGGAACGGTCACATTAGAGGAGTGGATCAGAGGAGGAATGACCACCATACCACTCCTGGTCCTGCTGGGAATGGAGACGGTGAGGAGAAACTAATTGTGAGTTAAAAAGAGGAAACAATACATTAAGATGTAGTATCTTAATTCCTGTTCCTCTTTCACATACATTCAGAATGTAGAGGAAGATGGGCAGCATGTATGGAGACTGAAGCATTTCAACAAGCCAGCATACTGTAATTACTGCCACACTATGTTGTTAGGAGTAAGAAAACAGGGCCTTTGCTGCTCACGTGAGTATCTGTCTGCCCGTCTCTCTATCTATTGCTCTGTCCATCTGCCTGTTTGTCATCTGTCGTCTTTCTGTCTATCTCTATATCTGTCTTTCTGCCTATGTTTGTCTGTCAGTCATTCTATTTATCTGTCTGTCTGTCATTCTGTCTAACCATCTATTGTTCTATCTGTAGTTTTGTCTAACTACATTTGTATATGTTGTTCTGTCATTCTATCATTTTGTCAGTCTCTGTCATCTAGGCCCTAGTCCCTATGAAATCCAAATTCCATTTTAATTTTATCCAAATTATGTTTTTCTGTTTTATTTTTTCTGGATTCATTTTTTTTCTGTTTAAACTCTGTTTTAATGGCTAAATAAAATTTTATTAAACAAAAAGCATATCTAATTAATTGAAATCAATTTAATAGCAATTTATTAAGAGTTTAACCAAGAATTACATTTTTAAGGCCCTGTGAAATATGTTTTTTTTCTCAAATGTTGTTTTATTTTTACCAAATTCTGTGTTTTCCTTAATAGTCTGGATTCTATTTGAATGGTTTCATTAAATTGTAATAATCAAAATCATCTGTAAATAATTGATGTTATAAAAAAAAAACTAATTTATTTATTTATTTATATATTTTTCAGAAATACCTTGTTGTGTATTTACATTTTTCTGGTAAATAATTTTGTCTGGTAAATATTCCTTAAAAATAATGTTTTAATAATAATTTTATTAGTAGTAATGTACTATCATTATATTAATATTATATTTCTGTCACAATTTCTTCAAGTTGAACCGAACTTTTATTTTGAGAGGTTGTTGTGAAGACCTTTCATTTTTTCTGTTTGCATGATATGACAATAGTTGTTCTCACAAGAAACAGTAAATGCTCATGAAGTGACTTTCAAAGCAGTTCTATAGATTATGTTCATGTGTTCGTTTACTCATATATTGAGGCAGCAGAGGCTGAAAACACCGCGAGCATCACATGCACTTCAGTATGTGTAAAACGGAACCACGCGTCTGCGCCATTCAATCACACAGAGACACGCGGAACATGCAGGATTAATATTGAAATAGTATTTTGCAGCTTAATATTCACAGCTAGTAGTCCATATCACGTTTTGGCTTAAGAGTGTATTGACCTACTTTTGATTCATTCATCCAAAATTTGTCAAATTCTGTGATATTATACAGTAAATTCCATTTTTATGACTGGTTTCCGTGATTCTGTTTGTGTTTTCGATCTCTGTATCTGTCAGTCTGTCTAGCCATCTGTTGTTCTAACTATCTGTCATTTTATTTAATTATATCTGCCCGTGTTGTTCTGGCTTTCATTGTGTCTTTCTATCTGTCTGTCTATCTATCGCTTTATCTGTCTGTCTATCTTTCTAACTACCTATCCATCTGCCTGTTCTCTGTGTAGTTTTCTGTTTGAAATGTTTCCCTTCAATCTTTCATTCTCCGTCTCTCAACTTCCTTTCTTTTGTTTGGCAGTATGCAAGTACACAGTCCATGAGCGCTGTGTGTCCAAAGACATTGCTCCTTGCATTAGCACCTACGCCAAGTCCCGCAGACACACCAATGTGAGTGCATAAACAACATAAACTTACAAATTAACACTTCTCACTGTGTTTAAACTGAATTTTTCTCTGAGGAGTAATTTACAGTATGGCCAGAAGCAATCATTTTATAAGACACATTTTTCATTTTTGTGAAACCAGGAGTCCCAGATTTATGTGTTTGGTACAGAGCTCATAGTTCTAACAATCACAGTGTTCTATTATTAGTAAACGACTCGTGTTATGATTATTTTATCCACTGACCGCAGTCCAGCTCAGTTTTCACCCAAGGCAACTTCCCAGACCCATAACGCTTGGTTTAACCTCAAAGTAATGTTCTGTGGACATGTCAGAAAGGCTATGAGAACATCCTGCTTGAAGTCTTTTTTTCTATACTGAGAACTAGAGGGGAAAGCCTGAGATCACACAGCACTGTTTTAGTAGTCTCTGACGCCTCTTTAAAACCTGCGCTCCCCATGCAGTAACTACCGCAGAGATGGAAGGCACTGCGTTCAAAAAATGTTGTCATTAGATTATGATTTCACAGAGTGTATTATGTGACGTGTTAAGTGATGTGGAGTGTGATTTTAGTGTACAAAGCAATAAAATTGCATTGAACAGTGAAAATATCAGTTATCATGCTTAATGTGTTTATTAAGACTTGGAGCTTGTGTAAAAATATTACAAACTATCAAATTCAAAGTAATGTGCTGTAAGTTACTTCATTAGTCTTACCTTCATCTCACATACTATATGTTGTAGTATTCATTTTTAGCTTTTAACATTAATTAGACTAAAAGGACATGTAATTTTCTAGACCCTTCCTAAAGGATCATTTTAAAAGCTCTAACCAACAAAAAAAAATCACTGAATGTGTATAATAACATATGAATTTGTCTTAAACGTTTTTTTGTATTTTAGTGCATTCCAACACTGGTAATTATTATTTCTTTACTAATATCCTCTGTATTCTTCCACACTTGAGGTTTTGCCTTGTGATGTGATTGTTTTAGTCAGTAAAGTAAAATAATATTGCAGATAGTGATAGAATTCTTGTGCAAATGCCTTATAAATGCATGACAGAGCAGGATAATCATTTCAGTAATGTATAGATGGGCTGTTTGAGTATTTCACAACTAAAATAAATAATGAGTCTCTGTTTAATGTCTCTCTAGGCTATGCAGCATGTTTGGATGGAGGGCAACTCCCCAACAAAATGTGACAAATGTCACCGCAGTATCAAGTGCTATCAAGGTCTAACAGGCCTTCACTGTGTTTGGTGTCAAATCACTGTGAGTATATACTGACTTACTGTAGCCAGTAAGAGTCTAAAACTTTTGTGTTAGCATTAATATTCATTGTAATAAAAAAAAATGCCTTGAGCAAAGACTAATTTTTTAACGTTTTTCTGCATTTTTCCTTTTTACCTATTTTTCTAAAAGCCATTTTAATGTAATACTTATTCACACCACTTGGTGGTGTTCTTCACTAAACTTTCACACCATTTAGTGGACGTGGCCAATTTGTTTTAAAATAGCCCTAATAAAGATAAGTGTCAGCACTTAACACTTATTGAAAAGCTTTTTTCTCTGCATAATGATTTTTATTATCACATTATATGCTCCTGCATATATCTCATACGCTCTCTGAACCATCTCTCCTGACAGTTTCAACTCTAAACTGCAACTAATTTAATATCAAGTACAGATCCTGCTGTCCTCTTTGTTCCTACCATTTAATGTCTTCTTACAAGGTCAGATTAGTGAGGATAAAACAAGTCACAAAAGATCCAGTCCATTCCAGTCTGTTGATGTGTCTTTCTCCACCACTCCTCATCTATATTTGTATGTTTTCCAGCTCCATAACAAGTGTGCGTCTAATATAAAGCCTGAATGTGACGGTGGGCCATTAAAAGATCACACACTCCTGCCGTCGTACATCTGCCCTGTTGTTCTGGTGAGTTCAGTCTCTCCCACTGCACTCTTTTGATATGCTAAAATGCAAGGATCCCAGGACGAATGGGTGGGTCCTGAACGAATTCTTTAATGGGCCTCCTCTCTACTGGGACCAATGAGTAGTCTATGCTATAGAGAATACATACTCATTGTATTTATAATTGGGTATTGTAGACACAGTGCAAGTCATTTCTAGATAGTTTGAGGTTATTTTAATGTTAGAGTTATACACAACACACAAATGTTAAGAAAATTGATGTTAATTAATGTGAATTGAACAAACACCCTTCACACACCTGGATGGTTGCAGGTGCACATGACATAACCATCAGAAAGAAGAGAATATTTCTCCTGCACGCTGCCATGGCTTCCAAATCTTTAAATATTTATTTAAAAAGCAATGTTTTGCAATGTCCGTTGCTTAAGTAAAAAAAAAAAAAGAAGAAAGAAAAGAAGACATCTACAAGGAAGGAGAATTTTTTTTTATATATATATATATATATTTTTTTTTATATATATATAAATATATTTTGTTCGACAACACGGATGAATTACGAACCACTTACTTGGCATCGTTTTGCCGTGTCTGCTCTCGAAGCAAAAAATCCCTGAATCTGTGTCGAGGCAAGGGTGCCACTTCGTTTTCTCCATCGACCCTATTTCT